TATCAAGTTGGACCTAGACCTAGGTAATGCAATTAAAGGATTGCGGTGACTGACGCGATAGTGCGCTCCAGCGGACCGTGAGGTTTTGTGGCCAGCGAGGATGTCCATTGTCGAGATTGGTTACAGAAAAGATGGTCTAAGTGGTGATCAATTTTTTTTTATAAAAATAGGGTGACAAACAAGCACACAGTCCTCAGTCCACTTGATGATAAGTGGATACTGTAGCTCATATAAATCTTTCCTCGTTTAAGAATTAAAATGTAATAATGTAATAAAATAGATCGGGGAAGTTCTTGCGTATTTTATATACAACTTTTCAAAGTTTAATTACATTTAATTATAATATTTATGTGCTATGTTGTTCGATAACTTGTTGACATCTTGTAGATTAGTAGTTTTGACAGTCCTCTCGTCATGTTAATTGTTAACCTTACACAACCCAAAGAATTCTGAAGAGACCGAAACAGGTGAAAATCTGAGATTGCAAGGTCCGGACTATATTATGGTGGTTGGATTAGCACTTTCCAACCAAACTCGTTTAATTTTTGCTGAGTGGCCAAAGATGTGTGTGCTCTGGTGTTATCGTGATGAAAGACCACTCCTTTTCTGTTGATCCATTCCGGCCGTTTTTTCTCATTATCTTGCTTGAGTCCATTAGTTGTTAGCAGTAGAGATCCGATTCGATGGTTTTGCCCTAAAAGCTCATAATAAACGATTGACGAGATTCACTCATTTTAACGGGCAGAAAAACAATTGAAAAATGCCGGAAAAGTGTTTTTACTTTTTATTTTTATTTTTCTTAATGCCTATATGCATTGATATTAAAACCAGCCAGATACAAACAGTACAACCAAAGAGATTATTCTTCAATTTTATACAAACAAAATACGAAAAAACTTTTTCCCCGACCTATTAATTAGATGCGTTGTCACAACTGAGGACTAAGATCGAATGCCTCGTTAGTCGTTACCAGTAAAAAGTGCCCTCGGTTCTCTACATTCACCATACGAACAGCATTAAGCGTTTATTTCACGCTGGTATTCTGTACGAACATGCTCCTTCCCCGTTTCAGTCGACCCATCCGTGCTACAGCCATAATATAACTATTTTACACGTGGTAGAGCCATGCTGCAGCTATATTAGTGGTATAGTTGTAGCACGAATGTGTTGGCTCGACCAGGGAAGGACCACGCTCTCACAGAATACCAGCGTAAAATAGCAGCAACGCTGCTGTATTTCGTTTGGTGACTGTATAGAACCAACAAGAATTCTTATTTCTACAGTATAAGATGCCAAACGAGCTGTAATCTTGGTGATGAACGAACTTTCTTCATTAATTCAATCATTAAGATTAGTCTCTAATGAGACCATTTGACCCTTCACCGCTTTATTGCAGAGTTTAGAGTTTATTGCAAATATTTCGTTTTGCGAATTCAAATAGCTTTTAAGTTAATTCTAAGGGGTTTCTATCTTGATAATAGCACAAAATAGATAATATTACAAGTAATAATAGATACAATTATGCACACTGCGTATAACTTACATTTCTATAGGTTCGTAAAATAACTGGGTGGTCTGGCTTTTCTCATTGAAACGTATACGTGGTAAAACTTATTATAGTTGCACGAATAGGTCAGCTCGATCGGTGCTTAATGCTGTTTCGTATTGTGAGTGTAGAATTTACAGTAAACAAGGCATTGCATCTTAGTCCTCAGAGGTGACAACGCATCTGCGTTTTGATTCTTAAACAAGGATAGACGTAAATGTCTATGGATCACAACATCTACTTACTATCACGTGTACTGTGTGCTGTTTGTCATCCTCATATATAAAAATTACGTATCACGTTGTTTGTTCGCGATAAACTCATAAACTACTGAACTGATTTCAATGAAATTGCAATGCACACTGAGTGCAGTTGGGTCCAACTTGAGAGATAGGATAGTTTTTATCTCAATCTTCATATTCTTCTGTCTGTGTGTGTATGTGACTGAACTCCTCGTAAACGTTTGTATAGATTTTGATGTAATTTTGTGTGTTATTAAGTAAAAATTAAATGATCATGTTTGTCTTATCCTACAAAAAAAAAAACACGTCTAGAATTTCACACGCTTTCATTACTATGAATCCGCGAAATTATGTCTATAGCTCTTTCTAATAATCACTAAAACCTCCCTTAAAATCTCAGTAATCCCTCGATAAGGAAAGCCCTTGCCCGAAATGCACCTTATTGTTCTTTGTTTATAGTTGCGATTTGATTGTAGACATATTATATAAATTTATGTGGCTTGTGAGAACGGCAGTGGAGATGAGGGTCGCCCAAGGTCGTCCATTGTGAAGATCCGGCTGTGCCGGTAGCTCTCATAATCCCTGCCCACTTGGTTCATGCATAGAGCGACGACATTGTTACGTAAGTCGTATCGCGTCGACTTTATACTTTATTATGTAGTTTTGTTCATATCACAATTGCTTGACATGAAATGGACCTTCTGCTTGGATGCTTTGTTGATTAGTGTATTACCTTTGGCAAATTTCCGAGAGGCAATTTATCTTTGTATTGGTCGTTTTTTATTTTTTGTCAATCAAAACATTAAAAAAAGCGAGTGAAAATGCAAAAAGTATTAAGTTTTAAGATAAAATCAATTATTTGTTTTTAAAATAAAGCTTTTGGCATAAAATATGGCTGAGATCACACCTGCCATAGCTCTTTAATTACGTATGTAAAGCTGGAATGGTCATTTAGGCAAAATCATTTAAATTTTTACTAAAAATCTAGTGCTAATTTAGTGCTGCAAATTGAAATTTCACGCCATAATAACTTCTCAAAAATTAGAAAACCACTAGCTTTTAATTAAGCTAATAGTGTTCTACCTATTGAAACGGTAACCGCTTAATACAGCACCAAATGGAAGCATCAATAATTTAGTGCTCATTTAGTGCTGCCGATATACTCAGAAACAAAAATTTGGGAAATAATATTTTTTTTTTGTAATATTATAAACTCTGCTACTTTGACATCTTTAGCAGAGTATGTTATGAAAAAATTGACATCAGGGTGAGCTATCACCGAATGATATAAGATAATAAATGAGTGCTCAATTATTGCTACAAGCACATGCGAAATAAAAGCGCTAAAAATAATTTAAAATTAAAAAGCACAGCTTTCAAATAAAAAAGGAATCATCGAAATCGGTTCACCCAGTAAAACACATAAAAAAAACATACAGTCGAATCGAGTACCATCATCTTTAAGTGGGTAGAAAAATTATTTTTCCGTATACCGAAAACTGCCACTTATACAGGTTCAGGAAAGTACGTGATTCAAAATACACATCCAGGAGGTGGGTTATCACCTAGTGATATAGGATCATAATTCAGTGCTTTTTTAGTGCTGTTGGTATACGTAAAAGGATTTGGGATTTTTTTTTTTAATACCTTAAATTGCTACTTTGACATCTTTTGCAGAGTATGTAATGAAACATTAACATCCAAGTGGGCTATCACCTAATGATATGAGATGATCAATTAGTGCTCTCGATATACGAAAAGGATTTGAGATTTTTTTTAAATACCTTAAACTGCTATTTCGACATCTTTAGCAAAGTATGTGATGAATAATTCACATTTTCTTTATAGGATAGGGTGACAAACGAGCACACAGTCCACCTGATGGTAACTGTTTGCTGTAGACCAGACATCTACATCTATCCTCGTTTGCGAATCAAACTGCAAATGCGTTGTCACCCGTGAGGGCTAAGATGGAATGCCTCTTTTCCAGTAAAAAGGGTCTCCGGTTCTCTACACTCACCATACGAAACACAGCAGTGTTAAACTGCTATTTTACACTGGTATTCTGTTAGATCGTGGTCCTTCCCCGGTCGAGCCGACCCATTCGTGCTACAACTATATAACTAATATAGCTGCAGCATGGCTCTACCACGTATAATTACATCACTTTAGGTTAGATTCAAATTTTTGATCAAGCTATTTTGGCGTTAAATTTAAATTTGCACCACTAAATGAGCACTAAATATTTAGCAAAAATTTTAGTCATTTTGCCCAAATGACCATTCTCTTTTTATTTATTTCTTTTTATTAAAAAAAAAACGTTACCCCCCACACTAGGATTTTTTCCTGTATCGTGGAGGCAGTCTACAAACACAAATTGCACAAGGACAAACTTCCAGACCCGTAACAATTATTTGTAGGCCATACAAATACTTGTTCCGTGCGGGATTCGAACCCGCGGCTCCCAGCGTAGCAACTCATTGCAAAGCCACTGCGCCACGGAGCCGTCTATTTTTTTTTTATTCTTTGTCATTCCAGCTGTATAGACGTTCTTTAATTGTTTGTGAAGTTACATTACAATCAGTTAAGATATTCCAAAGATTAGCCCGGACAGACGGACAAACATATTAAAAATGGTTGTTCATGTCTTAAAGGCAAGCAAAAACACTCAACTTAATGTAAGGCCGTTATTTCGATATTACAGACAGACACTTCAATTTTAGTTAAACGTTCCTACTTTAGTATTTAATTTCACTTCATGATCACTATTAAAATATCTATAGAAGAGTTTTCACCATGCTGAATCTATTTCATATTTTTATTGTTTATGTTTATGATTAGATAAAGTTATAATTTTTAATGATTTAGTAAAAAAGTTTAAAATATTTTTATTTTTTTATCACCATTATTTTTATCATATTGTCATTAATTAATTGCGCCGACAGCTTTTGGAGAAGCAAGTTCTTAAGTGGGAGACCCAGCATAGGTGGAGACGGTATTGAACGTCTCCACAATAAATTGGCTGATGATTTGATGAAAAGCAGACAAAATGTATCGATATAAGACTTTATAATTCCACCTTTTCAGGTATTTTAAAGCTAAAAACAAATCTTGCCGGGTGTGAAAATGAGTTCCAACTCGTAGACTTAAAAATTAACATTTCTTTGTCAAATAATTTTATTTATATAATATGTCATTATATTTGTTCACAGAGGCCTATACTGCAAATCCAAGGTGTATCGATGAGACGGCGCTAGCTCTCGTCGGAGAGGAGCGTCTCGACACGCTGCGTGGTCATCTAACTTGTGAGTATATCATTTTTACATACATTTTTGTCTGTTCTTTTTTTTTTTCATTGAATTGCGCTAAATCAGGGAGCATGTAACGATTCGATTACGTTTGCGTACTGTTACGCAACTAAATACATTATGAGTAATGAGTTTTTACAAATTTAGAAAATGTCGCGTTTTAAATAAAGTGCTTGAATAAATTTTTGAAAAACTAAGAAAATGGATGATATATCTACATTTTTTTAGGTATAAATATCTTATATTTAAATTATTTTAGTACAAAAGCCTTTTAAATATCGAATTTTAAAAATAAAATTACCTTGACTGACAATGGCTATCGTGAAGGTGTATGCTGTAGCTGTTAATGCTATCACAATAAAATTATATTATAGTTATAATTTTAGTATTAAAATAAAACTGGGTCTACTCTCAACAAATAGACGTAGGAATGATTATGGTATTAGTTCTTTCCACTGTGCGATGTAATTCACTTAACGATACTCTTGTTAATCGAAATTAAATATAATCTAAACTCGATTATAACATAACAGCGATTTTTTTCTTTTCAACTGTAATTTCATGAAACACAAAAATTAATCTAGAAATAATCGTTTTGAAATTAAATGCCGTCGGACCTCTATTTGTAATTTAGTTGAAAAATGCATAAAAACACGTAGGTAATATAAACGGCTTTACAAGTTCATTATCTCATTAACTCGGACAAAAAGCCCAGAACTGTTTAGTTACTTGCAAGATAATTCGCTAGTACGCTCGCAACTACTGCGCAGTTGTATTCGTCTGGACTCGAATTCCAACTGCTTCTTAAACGGGTTATTGGTTACCGATTGTGGACTTATTGTAAATACCTGTTCCTGTAATCTACTTTGAAGGGTAGGGTGCCGCTGTCACACAAGGAACCCTGTTTATTTTCAAACGACTTCAAAAAATGAGGAGGTTCTCAATTCGTCGGATTTTTTTTAATGTATGTTCACCGATTACTCGAAGAAGCCTGAACCGATTTTGATGATTCTTATTTTATTAGAAAGCTGGTGCTTCTAGTGTGGTTCCGTATAAATTGAATCAAGGTCTGATCAGAGTTATTCTTAATAATTTATATTGAAGTCGGTTGTACAAAGTATTTAATTTTGCCACTTGGTGTTCTAACTATATGGGTCTCAGCGTCAACAACTACTATAATTTTTGGAAAAGTTATCTTCATTAACCTAAATATATACAACTCAGCGATGCAGTGACTGGCCCAAAAACTTTAGACTTAGTGCTTAATGCAACTCAGTGATGAGCCACCTTCTTACATAGTTCTAATGCTATTTAGCAGTTCTTGTACTGTTGTGTTCACAGGCTCTGAGGCATTCGCTCTTGATTCTCAGAGGTTTCTGAGAACAGAGGCATCTGTAGCATTCTTTGTCTGAAGTTGGCTGCTGGTACCCATGCACTGCAAGTAGCCACTTACCATCAGGTCAAATGTAAGTTCGTATGTGACTTCAGTTTGATAAAAAAATATACAGCTTTTAATCGCCTAAATAAGTTGTGAAATTTGCTCGTCTTCGCCTATCTGGATATTTTAAATTTAGTATATATAGGAGAGGGTTGTAACGCACTCTATCTGATAGCATAAGATCTTATTATCATTGATTCATTCATCGTAAGAAATATTAATAAGATCATTGATAGGCTCCTAGATAGATTTTTTCAATAAATCAAATCAGTAGTTTGCTGCCTCGCATAGTCAGGTGATCAGATCGGTAGAAAGTGTCCAGCAGTGGAAAATATATAAGCTGTCACTTTTCTACTACATGACTATAACGACCCTACACATCCGCCGACTCCATGTGACTGAGACTGTCTGACTGCCTAGTCCTAAGGAGGACTTAGAATGAGATTATAACATAGCGGCATAGCAATTGACAGTGCCGCTAATAAACGGCCACATATATAGCTGATATAAAGGCGAAACGCTTGTCTTCAATTGCTCGATGGCACACAATCATCCAATAAACCGCTGGGTCGTTGCACTCAATGCAAGTGCCTTATGTATAAGTGTTGAGTAAGGACAGGGTTCTCACTTCAGAATTTTTGGTCTGGATATAAAGAAGCCTTTCAAAATAATACCATTTCATTTTAAACATCTTTTTACATAAAGCTACTTGCGATAGCTCTTGAATGTAATATAAATTTTCCTTTTTCATTTTCTCCAGCAAAAATTTCAATTTGTTTAAAAAATACAATCTATAACATTAAAAACTTATATCGCTTGCATAAATATAAAACGAAATGATTGTATAGGTAATGAATGCATCCATCGGTACGAACGCGAATAATATTTCTCAAGAGCCGTTAACTAGGTCGGAGTCTATTGGTATATTTAGGGAGGATAATTTCGGCATTCAATCCGCTATTCAAGATTTTAGTTATAAACCCCAACAATCCTAAGTGGAGCAAATTAGGCTAGGTCGCATCGGCGGGGAGTCGCGGTCGGTCGGAGACGCACAACCGACGGAAACCGACGCGTCGCGCATGCGTGATGGATGGGCGAGGCAATTTGCTATACTATCAAAATTATATTAATTATATTAAATAGTCATTTTGATTGTTTATCTTAAAGAAAAACTACAAGTAAAATAGTTTATTTTTATTTTTGTAATTAATGTTTTCCGTAAACGTAATTTGCGGAATTATCAAGAGTTATTTATTGAAAAATATATACTTACCATTTTATGTAACACTAGCGATCCGCCTCGGCTTCGCACAGGTGATTCCTGGATCTCGATAACAGCGCCACCCACCGGCTTCAATTGTGAATCTAAACCATCCAGGGATCCACAAACGCTCGCAAAGAAACGTGTGTGTATGTGTACTTATGTACGCACGTAAGCAGTTATACTTCTTTTTATAGATTCATATGTATTTGAATAACTACCTTGAATATAGTTATCTCTTCTCACGAAAACTTGACAATTGACAGACAATTACTAACTGAAGTTGTCACTTTTCGGTTTCGCTTTCGGTTTTTAGGTGTCGGTGTGCGCGCGCATTGTAAAAAATTCATCATTTTTCTCAAACGCGCCAAAAGAAGTATAACTTCATAAAAATCATTAAAATCGGTCGAGCCAGTTTCGAGTTTTAGCGAAACTAACGGACAGCAGTTGATTTTTATAAGTATAATATAGCAAAAATTGCTGTGACACTTGTGTTGGCGGTGTAAGAAAATCCATTACTGTATTTCCTTCCTTGGGTGAAAAAAGGAAGCAAGGAATGTCTCACAGCCTGTAACTGTGTAGGTTCTCTAAATCCTTCAGACCGGAATGCAGCAGTGCGTGCACGCGACAGTATGGCGGCAGAATACCGATCGCAGTTCCAGACGTCACGCATCCTAGACGCCGTTCCCTGGTGCCAAAGTATTACTAGATAACCTATATCTAGATAAATGTCATGAGGCACATACCAATGACGAAGTAGCATAACATGGTATGCAAGAATGTAAACGGAGACACCTTATACACTACGAGCCATTAGTATGCGGACAATGCAGTTTGTATGTAAACACTATAAGCAATCAATACAATAGTGTCACGACTGTTGTGTAATCGTGAGTGGGTGCCTGTCGTATGTGGATAGTCCAGCACATAAAAAACAATCGGACAGACAGATATAGGATAGCGGTAACCATCACAATCACAATTGCAATTTTGCTGTTGATTGCATAGAAATTTTTATTGCTAAAATAAAAACCGGCTAAGTGCGAGTAGGACTTACGCATGAAGGGTTTCCTACCATCGTACAAGATTTAATACTATGTATGCAAAAAAAAACACGTTTCGTTTAGGGGAGCTTTAATTTTTAATTTATTTTTATTTTTATTATATATTGTTATAGTTGCAACAGAAATACACATTCTGTGAAACTGTCTACCTATTACGGATCATGGGATACAGCCCGCTGACAGACAGACGGATTGGCGGACGGACAGCGGAGGCTTAGTAATAGGGTCCCGTTGGTTACCCTTCGGGTACGGAACCCTAAAAAACTAAGAATAAATCACTATATTAAAATCGTTTCGAGAATAACCTTACGTAACAAGAACAAATTACAACGTAACGCTACATATCGCACAACATAATTCGAATGCACGCATGGTATTGTGTAATCGCAATCTGGTAGTGTATATACACGAAACTCGTTGGTTTGTACCTTATTATGTAGTAACTGAGCCGATTTTATCTCGCGTTTGTTGCTTCATCTGCAGGTGATCGCGATCACTTTCTAATCAGACTTCGTTGATTAATTCTAGCATTAATCTAACCAAGTTGTTATACTAAATTGTGACTGATCGTCGTTGAAGGGTTACTTGCTTGGTATTAACTATTTGTCAGAAACATACCACTTTAGTTTATTGAGAAAGTTAAGGGTTTTGTAGGCCCTAGGTCGATCCATTTTCGTCAACATCTGACAACAACATCTGCCGCTGTTATCCCAACAGGCCCTTCCATTCAGCAATACCTCTAACTCTTAGTCCTGCTATAGAAATCGCCCTGGATATTCATTTTTAACTCATCATACTGGTAGTTACTAGTTGTAATAATATTTTTATTTCAGTAGTAAAACCTTTAAGACGGTCTTTCATCGAAATAATATCAATATCTTAAATAATATAGCATGTTGCACGATACTCTGCAAGCGAACGCGTATACTAAGACTTTTTTATTTCGCCTGTATGTTAAGATGATCGTAAATATTCGTACAGACTTCTTTTTATACGCGTCTCCTCAATGACAATTTTATATTTAGCGCACGACGACATTTTCGTTCATCTTATTACCTTGCAGTTATTGAAGACGTCTCATTTGTATATATATATTAAGAAGATAATATAAAAGGTTATTATATAAAATAATAGGTTGTTATCATATGGGATTAGACTTGTAGTATTTTATATTTTTGTTATATATACTAGCGATCCGTTCCACCTACGCATGGGTGATGACCCACTCAAACAC